TCAATTCACCAACTCACCTCTTTTGACCACGGTCCTTTCACAAGCTCTGGGTTCAAGACCTTTTGCCATCTATGAAGACACTGGACATCAGTCCGATCCTTAAAACATTCAGCTGAAAAGGTGAATCAAATAAAATCACACATTACTTTCACCATACTAACTAAAGACTAAATATAAACATGGCAGCTAAAATAGAGTATTCTTGATTTGATCTTCACATACCCTGGAAAAAGAAACTGGGAAAACAAGAAGAAATCAGAGTTTGCTATTCGACTTACCTATCTTCTTCCAGTTCTTTCCTTGAAAACGCTCAACAGCTTTACACAAAACTTCGTCCTGATCCAGAAAAAAGGAATTAATCTAACAGAAAACTTCATACAGACAAATTCTTCAATAGGTGTATTAGCTAATGGCAACTAGTTAAATGGAACTGTGCAAAGCAACAATAGGGTGGGATAGAGCCAACTGATTACGCTCAGCCAGTGTTCCGGGATACATGAAATGAAGCATGGAAGAATCAGATAGACAACAAACAAGACACAGGAACAGAACGCACCTCTTCGGGTGTCCATTGTCCTTTGGTGGATCGCCTTGCAGGGCCAGATGTCCTCCTATGAAAATGTGACAAAGAGCTTGCAACATTATTAACCTGAGAATGCCTAGTTGAATGCAAAATTTGGTGCCAAAAGCAATCCAACTTTAACATTGAAAGGAACTGAGAAGTGAGCGTACCCTTGTTTTCCTTTCAGATCGACTTGGAGACTCTCTTGTGGAGTATTAGGAGCTTTCATCTCACGCTTCATAGTTAGCAAGGAAAGCGATATGAAAAATCCCAAAGTCGGTCTCTTTGATATGACTTACAAATCATCATAAGCGAAGCACAATACTACAATCTGAAACAAAGATAAATCCATAAAATTAAAAACACAGTCGGACTAAACAATCAGCATTAGCTTACATAAATATACAATACCTCAGCAAAAGAGCAAACATTCCCAGAAAAACAACTAAGAAATTTACAAAATGAAGAAGGCAGCTTTAGATTATAAGATTGGATACATAAAACCTAAGATAAGAAGCTTGAACTAGTTTCAGAACCCAAAACAAAAACCTCCAGAAAAAGCTTCGAACTTGCTCTGAACAAAATCGAACCTTTTGATGAAAAAAAGAAAGAGAAGCTTCAAAGAGTAGATTTTTGATGTTGGTTCAAAGATCAGGAAGAAGTCTCCGTGAAAACTAAACAAAATGTGAGCATAAGAGAAGGAGACAAGGTCATACGAGAAAGGGTCACACCTTACAGATCCAGGAAATCCAGATTAATCAAAGTAATTAAGACGCTGTGAATCCAGACGAAGAAGAAGAAGAAGAACACAAATCGAAATCGAAATCGAAGTCGAGAGAGAGAGAGGTATTCAAAACTCAAACATGGAGAGGCGGAATTCGAAGAGAGAGAGAGAGAGATCAAAACAAAAAGGGAAAGTGATCTCAGCCGTTGATTTCAATCTCGGAATCTAGCTTAGTCTCTAGTCTCTCCCATAAAGTTTCATTTTTCTTATTTATTTATTTCTGTGTCTTAGTTTTTCTCTTCTAAACAACATTCAAATAGCAAGCATTTTTTCTTGTTTTTCGAAGCTATGAAAGAACAGTTCTCTCATGAAATTGCCAGTAACAGCTAATTCTAAAATCAGCATTAAACCCTAAAAACAATGTGGACAAAGTCAAACGAGAAGACCAAGAATACCAAAACTATTTGATTTTCAAAATTAATTTTAACTAAAATATCCATATAATATTACCACTGAGTTAATACAGTTGTAGAATTTTTAAGGAATAGTTTTGGCAGTTAATAATTTGTCTTTTAGAAAGCTTCCCAAAAATACCTTAAGATCGATTTTAAATAATTAAGGAAAGAGAAATGTGCATAAGAAGGCACATAAATCATAATAGAAGGGAAAAAAAAGGTAGACAGTACTCAGTAGTAGTAAAAGCTAGATTCTTGCGCAAATAAAACAAAACCAAATATGACTAAACCAAAATTTGCTAAATAAGCAGCTATTTCTAGTTATAACATCACAAGAGTCACAAGTAGAGAGATACGGTTTTGACTGTGATGTATACATAAAATTAAAGTTGCAACTAGAAAATATATTAAAAACAGAAGCAGTCACGAGCTAATGAGAGCCAAAGTCCAAAGAAAACTCTCATGCTTCCACCTTCTGAGATTTGTTCCAGCGACCACCCGGGGAATCTGATCCCCTCTTCCGCCCGAATCTCCCTCCTCTTCTTCCTCCCCTGCACAGACCATGGCCGAGTATATTATTATATAAACCACACAGAACTTCATTTGAAACCAAATCATAACCATTTTATAACTAAGAAACCCCAACCAAAACATGAACTCACCTTCCTCCACGGCCACCCTTGTCAAACCTATCTTTGCTGCGAAGGAGAGTCCAATATTCCTTTTCAGCTTCGCCTGACAGCACAACATTATAAACAAGCAACCATTTAACTAAAGCAGACCAAATGTTTAGTTAAAAGATAAGATGGATTGAAAAAGTGCTTTTACCGGTAACAGGTTCTAGGACAGCGATGAAATTCTTCACGGCTAGTCCACCTTCTTTGGCTAATACTGCTGCTGCACGGGCTTTCTGGGATGCTTCAGGTTCATCAAACCTAAGGTAACCCGTCTCAGATCCCATCTTGAAATCCACAAACTTCACAATAAAAAGAATAAAGGAATCAGTATCAACAATGGGTAACAAACCAAAAAACTGTTATATGTGAATGATGACAGACAGCTAAGTAAAACTGATGTAGTACCTTGACATCACCAAATTTTCCGAAAACAGCCTTAAGATCTTCGCGCAAGACAACATCTTTATTATCTTTATGGGTAGCTAGAGCACCCTTTTCTTCTTTCTCATCATCTTCATCCTCTGCTCCCTGGGCCTGAACCTCATCAGTGTTTTCTTTATCAGCATCAGGAGTATCTGCTGGCTTTGATTCACTTTCATCCATTGTTTTATCAGTTGTCTCCTCAGAATTTTTTTGTTCCGTGGTACCCTCTTCAGCTGAGCGCTTCAGGGTGAATGAAATGATCAAACCCTTGGGATAACTATAATATGATAAAAAAAAAAGCCATAATCAGATCAAGAGAACTATCAGCAAGAAAAGACCAGAAATTTAATAGCAACAGTCAAACCCCTACTCAGGCTCATAATCAGAATTGTTTTTGTGATCGGAACCATTCTTCTGATTTGCAGATCCCTTTTGAGGTTGGTAATTAGCAAATTTTACTTCATCCTTCTCCCTTTCATTATCAAAATCTTTCCTGAAAAGAAAATATCACCTTTAAGTAACCCATACAAACAATCAATAGAAAGACTTGTAAAATGAGAAACAGTCAGCAAACAGGACCAAGTATATGATTACTTACTTTGGTTTCAGCTCCAACTCCTGACCAGCAAAGACCAAATTCTGCTTCATAACATTCTGGGCTTCCTCTTCTGTAGGAAACTCAACTAAGGCAACACCGGAAAATATCCTCGACTCTGCTACATGACGAGGCATCCTCACACTATTAACCTGTAAGGAAAACACATACATATATCACAAACTTGTATAACCAGGTAATCTAACTGTTAATACTTGTGATAAATTTTGAACAATGGAGAAATACTTATAATTCAATAGTGGCTTACCTTTCCATACTGACTGAAAAAGGATTCCACATCTTCTCTTTTAACATCATAGGAGAAAGGTGACGCAGCTACTGTTCTAGCATTAAGTTGCTCAACCAAATCTTCCAGCTTCAACAATTCAGTACTCCTACCAACCTTTTTCCCTGTTTAAGCGAATCCAACAAAAATTGATCAATAATAAACTGTAAGAAAACATATTTCTCCAATCTGAACACCACATATTATCAAATTCGTAAATTCCACATGCAAAGACTTTTCTCAATGAAACTAAGTTTAAACTTTGCACTACACAGGCCATTCACCTATATTTGAAACTCTCAAACACCTATCTTTCTTCTAAGATTTCACTACCTCGGTTGAATCAACTAGAGCAATTGTTAATTATATCCAATCCCACCATAAATTTGATTCTCTATCATACGCTTAAAAGACTCACCATCTTCTGAGATCTTGAGAGCAGAAGAAGTTCTAAGAGTAGCAGCAACAGCTTTGATGGTATCTTCAGGAATATCATCTCCTTTAGAATCACCCAACTTCAAATATCCTCTCATCTTACTAAAGGAGCAAATCAACGCCAAACTCACCACTGTGTCACAAACCAAAAAATTATCAATTAGCGATAACAAAATAATCAAAAGACACAGCGATTGAATTAGTTTAAAAGTTTGAAACTTTACAGCCATCTTCACTCTCTGTAACAGTCTTCTTGAGGAAATCGTCAATTGGAAGATTACTATCACTGAAGTAGAACTCCACCTGAAAAATCGATACCAAAATTGAAAAAACTGGTGAAGCCAAAGAGAAACCGAAAGAAGGAGACAAGTTTGAACCTGGCGAAGAACAGTTTTGGCTGTCTCTTCGGTTAGACAAGGAATCGACATAATTGTTCACTGGCTCGAGAGAGAGAGAGGTCGAGAGGAGGAAGAGAGAAGAAAATTTGAGAAAGGGGACTAGGGTTTAGTGAGAGACACAGTTTCCATTTTCTTCTAAGTTTTCGAGTCAATTGCCATTTTTTTTTTTTGTATTTCCATAATAACCCTTGTACTTTTCATTACTATCAATTTAATCACACCACTATGCTTTAGAATATAACAAAATTACCCCGAATAATCCTGTACTATCTCATTCACCCCCACTACACTTTATATTTCAGCAAAATATTACGTCCTTTCGTTGGAAATTGATCAATATTTTCATGATTTTTTTCAATGTTCAAGATCATGACTTGAACAAAAAATTAATACTTTAATCAACATAACAATTTTTTTTGGGTACAAACTCTAACAACTTTTCTTATTTAGTAGTAAATTAAAGAGATGTTGATTATATTATAGAGTTACAACTTAAATTTATTTAGGAGTACAATGAGATTTACATTCGCAATAATGTTTGTACTTGTGTAACATGATAACGTTATTGCATGTGCAACTAAGAAACTTTTTTTTAGATTGATCCGTCATGTATCTCATGCACATCTTTTCTCCGTCATTGCTACATTTACCGTCCAAGTCTCCTATTGTTGTACACAGTTTCTCTGCTTCCACTTCTATTGTTTCATCAACCACACAAACCAAAAAACGCTAATTTTAGTTACAAAAACTTTCATTGGATAAACAAATGACAGTGCAATAACTTCAATATTAAACATATATGCTAGAACAATACTTTTGTTTTCTTTATCGCAAAGCGATTAGAAAGAACATCATTGTTTATTATCCGAGTAACTTACAAAAAACTAACATATATATTACCTTTACCACCTCTCAGAACGAGAAACATGAGAATATAAGAAACTATAAACCAAGTAACAGATCTCATATTTGAAAGCTGATCACAAGAAAGATTATCTCTATAGTTCGTTTGTCTCTCGGAATTTATCTTCTTTCTCAACAACACTCATAATAAATAAATATATTCGAGATACAGTAAAAATAGATGCATCTTTTTTTAGAATTATGCTTTGGAAAATAAGTTCAACGAGCCATTTTCTTAATTAGCGAGTTCGACGGATCAACTCTTTCTTTTTAGAAAAATTCTTCTTCGAAAATCTACTTATTATTTTCACTTTTTTTTTTTTGTGCGTGTACTAATTGTGATGACACATCACCTATTATTTTTAAAACATGCCATATAAACTATTACAATTCTAAACTGACAAAATCCATCACACGTTCAATCATAAAACAAATTTTCGGATTGTCACTGAGATCAATCCTAGTAGCAAGGAATTGCTAAAGCAGACCATGGGAAAACATTCAGGCTGTGTAGGAATAACTCGTGGAGAGTACCGTCGAAACATAGGCGGATGACAAATTCCTATAATTAAAGAGGACGTGGGGGAGATCATCGAGGAAGCTCAGCGAGGATGTTATCCATAAGAAAAAAGCTTAGGAAGTGAACTTTTTTTTGTATTAATTATATTGAAACACTAGAATTTAACCCGCGGTATACCGCGGGGCTATATTTTTTTAAAAAATGTAATGTTAATTTTTAAAAGATTAACTGAAGATATATCATATTAATTTATATTTTTAAATGTAGATATCTATCTATCAATTTTTGTAGTATAGATACGAAAACATACATTTTTTTTAAGTAACGATGTATGGTGGATTTTAAAATTTTGAATATTTTACTCTGCAGTATATCGTGGGTCGGTTTTTTTATAAATAAAAATTTTAAATTTAAGTTGGATTTGTTTTGTTAATATTGTTTCTTTTGTTTTGTGTTTAAGATTGTATAATTGTATTTTGATTGTTAATTTTAGAATTTCATCCGTGATATACCGTTATTTATTAATATCGACCCAAACCCGTCATCCCATATAAACCCGTCTATATTATCTCGTTAGCTAAATTATTAGTATTATAAAATCCAAGAAAATAAATTATTATTGTTATAAAATCTAATAATTTTATGATCTCACCCGTAGTATACGGTTCTTTGAACGATTTTAAATTTATACTACTAATATATATTTTAAATTTATCATATAAAGTATATGATTTCAAGTTTTTGTGTTTTTTTTTTTATTTAAATAAAGCAACGACTTAAATGATGATAGATATAGTTCTTTTTTCTGTATGTGTATTTGATTTTTCTATGTGAATATTTTGATTATTATAAATTAGTATTTTTATTGCTATGTAAAATGTTAATATAAATATTTGCTATAAATGTTTTTGAAGATATATGGAAAGATTGTGTAGAGATTTTTAGAAACAAATTAGGCAAGATATTGTTTGGTTAATATCTTTTATTTAAATTTTGTAAAAGTAATAGTAAATGCCAATAGCATTCTTTGTAAATACTGCCCAACCCCAGAATTTATTTGCTAAAAGTGTTCCAAAAATGTAGATATAGATAGTTCATCAATACTATAGTTTTAGAGACTTACATATTCATCTACGGTATGCTTTGTATATTGCTTCCATGGGTGGAGGATCTTGACCTGGATGTGCCACTTTGTTTTGAAATGTCGTTGTGGTATATGAATCCAACAACCATTTTTTGCTTTTTTGTCTTTTGTGAGCAATTTTTTTGGAGTAACTTTAGGTTATTTAGAATGATAAAAATGAAATGCTCTATATATAATAAAAAAAGGTCGGCTTATGCATTGTTATTTTTTTTAAGTTAGAAAAGAATACATCAATATTTAGTTTATGTTTAGGAATATGCTCTCATAAATTCAAATATCTCAATTTAATCTTCAATTTAATGTATAAAAAATTTTAAATCAGCATTCCGTAATTTTGTTATTTGATAGGATTACATTCCATATTTTGTAGTTATGTTTAAATTGTATTTGCTAAAATATCGAAAGATTGCAATCTTACCAAATATATTCCTATAACTATGAATTTTTTTTTCCCGGAAATTTAGTTTAGTATTAAAAAATCATATTAGAAATATAGAATATGGATTTTGTTATGTATTTTGTTATTTAATTTTAAATCATGATGGGAACAATTTTAATTCATATGTTTTCCAAAATAATTTAACTTAACTCATATTTCTAGGTGATCTGGAAATATATTAGTTAGATTAAATTAGTTAGACAATAGTTAGTAAAAAGTATATTCTAGATTAGTAGGAATCTAGAATCATAACATATATAACAAAAAGATTTGAAAATATATTTTAAAGGATTTTTAGGAAACTGAATTACAGATTATATCCATGCGTGATTAAGCTAAACAAAATTTTAAATTATAAGAAACATAATATAACAAACGAAATCAATAATTGATGATAAAAGATTTTAAGGAAACTGAAAATATTTTCAAAGATTACGAATTGAAGTAATACACCAATTCGAATAATACCTTTTGTTTAGATATAATTCGAATAATATACCTTTTGCTTAACTCTATACGTGAATAATAACTTTTTTATATATAAATTCGAATTATATAACATTTTCAATGATATATCATTTTCAATTTTCAATAACATTTTCAATTTTCAATAATATTTTCAATAACATTTTCGAATAATGGATTAGTATATAACATTTTCAATAACATTTTCGAACTATATGATTACTATAATTAAAAATAATATTTTCTTTATAAATTCGAATTATATAAAAAAAAATTCAATGATATATCATTTTCAATAACATTTTCGAATAATGGATTAGTATATAACATTTTTGAATAATTTATTAATAACTTAGGACGTTAATATATGATTACTATAACTCAAAATAACATTTTCTTTATAAATTCGAATTACATATAACAAAATCTTTTAATATCTTTAAACCCGTTTGACCCGTTGACCCGTTAATATATATTAGTAACATGAAATAAAATGATTATGATTAGAATTATCTAATGGCATATATTGTAATCTACATATACATTTTTATAGTACTTTTTTGCTTTAATTCTTTTGGATCCGGGTTTGATCCGGGTTTTAGTCTATTCGGATCTTGGATTAGCAATTTAAGGGATGTTGTCTTAATTTCAAACTAATAAATGAAGCCATGTTGTCTTAATATCTTTCATATTAATGACCCTAATAAATAGCCGATTTTAATGGAAAATCGTTTTCATATTTATGCTCAAAATAAATGTCCAGATTTTAACAATATATACATATATTATGAAATTATAAAGAAAAAAACGTATTTATTTTTTTAACAGTATATATATATATATATATATATTATGTTAATAAATTTGTTTAATATTCTAATAATAAGCTATGTCATTTTTCTTTTACAATAACAGATTAAATATAGGCAATTGCCCATTTAAATTGTAATAAATTTAAAATCAAAATAACAATCTACATATACATTTTTACAGGGTTTTTTTGCATTAATTCATTTGGATCCGGGTTTTACCTGGGTTTAACTCTATCCGGATCTTGGATAAAAAATTTTAGGAAGTTTGTAATAATTTTAATCCCTTATTTGGCCAATCATAAATCGCAGAATAAATTTTGTTAATATTACCTAAACTAATAGCCACATTAATCATACCGTAATAAATTTTATCTCTAATTGATTTCGAATATTTCCACAATCTAAACTAATTACTATCACATACCTTATCTCATCTATTGTTCCTAAAATCTTGTGTAAATCTCGATTTTAAGGAAACCAATTACTCTATATATCATTACTTTAAAAACGTTTAATGCTCAAATCTTTAGTTAAGATTTTGGAAAGAATAATCATTTGAAAATCAATTTCGAATCAGTTTAGCAAAAAATTAATTTTTATTCTTTGACATAAATATAGATTACTTAAAATAGATCGTAACAATAAATATATAAAAGTAATGAATATACAATAGAAAGATACTCTCATAAATATCTTTACGATTTGAGTATTAATAATTCTTCGACAAGTTTACAAAAAGAATTAACTATAAAATTTTCTTAAAACGTAAATAATTAAAAACATTTAAAGCAAGATAAACAGAATATTCCTCTTGAAAACCCTAAACCAGCACGGTCTACTTCACTATATATATAAGATCATGCTATTCCACTAATCAAAATATTCATTCCGCCAAACCTCTAATTTCGTTTTTAGTTCATATTTCTTTATATTGTTATTGTTTATAATTTTATGAAGCTTTGTCGTTTCTAACATATTATTATTTGTCTATTTATGCATGTATGTATAAGAGACGATCATGAGGATGTATCACTACCATTGACTTGATCGAAATTTGTTTCAGTTTCATCGAAATTTTGGAAAACTATGGAGATCATCAACTTCATCTCTTATAAACTATTAAAGAAGGTATGCAATAAAAGGTTAGTTAGTCCTTCTTCTAATCATCATGTATACTATTTTTGTTTTTAGTGTTCAGTATTTTTTTTTTTACATTTTCATGTTTAATTTCTTCATGATGTTTGTTAATGATTTTATTTTGTAGGCTAACAAGTTCACTCTTTTAATTCATTTTCTTTAAGGTAGGAAGAAAAATAAATTTTCAATAAAATAAAATTCTAATTCTTAACTTTAATTATTCTAATGTTATTGGTTTTCATTGTTTTTATGATATAAGCCTTTACAAAACTCTGGATACGGATTTTGGTTGGTAAGTATAATTTTTCTAATCTCAAAATATTTTCTAACAGTTACGGGGTTTTCTATGGCTAACAATGACATCATATAATATTTTTTTTTTAATTTAATGTATTTTATATTTAGTGATTCCTTATACTTCTTTTCTATGTATGTTTTAGTTTTAACTAATTATATATATATATATATATATATATATATATATATATATATATATAAGTTCTTGATTTAATTTGCTTATTTTTTCTTGAAGGAAAATAGAAGTTTATAGCAATCCTCTTTTGATTTGATCTTATTTTTTAAGCGTGAAAGTATTATTGGAGAAAGAGTAATGTGGTGTACTACTTAAGCAAGGATCAACAATAAGAATGTTTTACAAACAAAATATATATGTAATTTGATCACATTTATTATATAATAATTTTATGAATTAGAGTTAGTTTTGATCCGTTTTAATTTCTTATTATGTAAAAAAAAATATTAATGAAAAGAGGTTAATGACAAAATCAAAAAAAAAAAATCGAGTAATGGAAAGATATTCCAAGATTTTTTCATATTTTCATTAATTATAACAAAATCCCTTAATTATCGCATTTAATTCAAATTATTTAATATGATTATACAAACTTAAAATAGAAAATAATCTTTTTAAAATCCCTCAATATTTGGAAACCTATTATAATTAATATCGATTTATCAGTAACAAATAATTATTTCTTAATTCAAAAATTTGTGTAGAAAAAATGACGCACACATGAGACCATTACAATATCATCAACAATAGAAATTCTTCAAGAATATTGTTTCATGCGGGTTGATTTTTTTTTTAATAAATAATAGGTTATATCAATATATAATCTTTAAAAAAAAAAATTAATTTTTAAAAAGAAACATAGCCCTTGAGTTTACTACTATTTACGATGGCATCCCATTGGCATTTATTATTTAGATTTTCAAAATTAAATCAAAGATATTAACCTAAACAATCATTGCCAAAAGATCTCTACAAAATATATTTATTAGCCATAACTATCCTTGCTACAATTACATCCATACTGCATTGTTATAATATTTATTTACTCAAAAATATCATTATTGACATATATAAAATTATTTATATTATTTAAAAATATTATAATAAAATGCAAACAACAAAAGAAATTAAATTTAAATCCGCCATACATCGTTACTTAATGAACTGTATGTTTTCATTTCTATATTTTAAAAATTGAAACCTAAAACATACTAATCGTACACTCACACTGAATAATATATAGATATATATGTACAATTTTAAAAAAAAATATAGGTTATATCTGTAGATAAACTTCAAAAGATTTAAATTTCGACTTTTAAAAATAAAATATAGCCCCGCGGTGTACCGCGGGTCAATTTCTAGTTTCTTACAAAATCAACGTTATGATCCTTAGAATGTACTTCCCAAATATTAGTATAGGATTACAATTTATTGTGTTTAATTAATACTAATTTTGTTTGTCCACATAAGCTTTTCACACTAATAAAACAATTTGTATTAAAATTACATCAATACAAAATGCGTAAATATAATACATTAATAATTGGATCATTACAGTGTGGAACAACGAGAACATGGAAAATAGATATTGATTGAAAAAAACTCATATATTCTACTTACTACTAACTCAAAACTTTATTAAAATTTTATATCAAAAAAAGGAGAGAGAGGGACATTAGAATAACATAACTTATTTATGGGTCATGACAACACTACAACCTCTCATAACTTCGCTATTAGTAAAAAGAGTAAAAGCAATGTTTGGTTATGGAGTTTATTTTGAGCATCGATGTTTACAGTCGCAAAAACGTTTGGTCTTGTGTAACATGTAAAGGTTAGTACATTTGCAGCTAACATGTCTTTCTTTCTTATACTTATTCGTCATGAATTTCAAGCACCCCTTCTCTCCTTGAAAGTCACAATTTCCATCGATGTCTTCTATTCTATTACACAGTTCCTGAGCTTCCACTTCTATGATTTTATATCAACCACAACAAGAATTGTTAGTTAGTTTTTGGTTGAATCTATTTAGATAAACAATATATTGACAATGCAAGAAAACCAAAATTAAACGTTTTTCTAGACCAATATTTTTGTTTTTTTTTTCTAATCGCAACATTGTTATTTTTTTTGCCATTAATTTGTAACGATCAATGTTTTATATTCCGCAAATAACAAAACAAAATCAAAAGAAAACATTCAGTATAAATTACCTTTACAAGAGCAAAGAACGAGAAAGACAAGAACATAAGAAACAAAAAACCAAGTAGCAAATTTCATGGCTAAAAAAGTTGATAGCAATTTTTTATTTCTGTTACTTGCAGAAATTATTGGTTAATCTTTACTCTCGTTACAAGTATTCATTTTCATCATCAACACTCGTAATATATATTCTTAACACACAGCAAAAATAGATTTATCTATATTTAGAAAATCATGCTTTGTAAAATTTAACGAGTTCAACGAGCCAAGTAAACGAGTTCGACGGGATCAGTTTTTATTTTTAGAAAAGTTCTTCTTCGATGTCTACTTCTATCGTTTTTCTTCAATAACAATAAATAAATAGCTTGCTGCATATTAGATAAAGTCTTGACTGAAAATCGGAGAAATTGACAAAATACTTTCAACATATTACAACAAATTTATACAAAAATGACCTCCAATTTAATTAACAAAAGCTTATATTATTCTCTACTTTTTTTTTTTTGACATCTTTGGATCGACAAGGCCCGATCCATAGCCAATCCCTACTACGCGGGGTAACGCGACTTAGTGGAGTCGAACTCCGGTAGAGAAGGCGGAGTCAAATGGACTTAACTACTTGACTAAAAGCACATCTCTACTTATTAACATGACAACGTTATTATTGCATGTGCAATTAAGAAATGTTTAACCAAGGTATCAATAAATAACACATCGAGACGGTCAAATAACATGAAGCTTCTGTGACTAATTAAGTAGAGAGAGAAAAGATTTCGCATTCGAAGTTGAAACGACATCGTGTCATTTATACAAGCTAGTGAGATAATAATGGGCTTAAAAGGGCTAAGGAACATTTAAGACATAAGCCCATCTCGCCCAAAGATAATCTAAAAACAAGGATTAAACTACTACTTCATTTTTGGGGAAAATTCTCGAGTTCAAGGTTTTATTCACTCCTTCTTTTATTAACCAACCAAAATCTGCTAATTAATAAAAATAAATAAAATAAAAAATTAATATTATTATAAATCATTAAAATAAATCATATAAAAATATACTATTGATGTTAGAGTTTATACGTCGGTTTGAGTTTATAAAAAAAGAGTTATAAGAAAGAGTTAGAATTTTAATTTTATAACGGGCTGTTTCTTCGCAGGGAAGAGTTTTTTGTTGTTAGGCTTTTCGGTTGGGCCTTGTATTTTGTTTCTTTCGGACCTGTGCGTCCTAGTGGGCTTTTTGGGCCTTGTAACTTTTTAGTTTCAGCTTCAATGGAAATTTAAAATTAAAAAAAAAAAAAAAAAATTTATAACGGGTCTCATTTTATAACTAAACAAGTTTAAATGTCGGTTTGAGTTTATAAAGAAGAGTTCAGATTTAGAGATTAAAACTAAACGAGATTATATATCGTTTTGGGTTTATATGTTACAATTAAAAGAGGTTATATGTCAGTTTGAGTTTATAAAAACGGATTAGGAATTTAGATTCTACAATTAAAAGAGATTATATGCGGTTAGAGTTTATAAAAGTTGTTAGGGTTTAGATTTTACATTTAAATGATTGTTTTGGTTTTATAAAAGAGTGATTAGAGATTAAATTTTATATTTGAATGAGTTTTTATTTTATTTGATCAGGTGACAAATTATGATTTGTTAGAAAAAAAGATTGAATAACAGGATTCACCGACTCAAATTTGTTCCATTATTGCACATCTTCTTCTCAACCAGAGATCTCAAATACTCAACAATGTCTTTTCAATTCCGATGGAGTGATCCTCCTTCATGTGCCTTCCAACGCCTTACGATTTTCGTCCTTCCACTCGGATCTAAGTCGATTTCTCCGAATCCGGTAGAAACCTCTTTGAAGATGCAGTCGCCACATTTAAGGTGTACCATAGCTTCCATAGGGTGTGTTCGCATGTGATCCTAGCTTCCATAGCATGCGTCGCAGGTGATCCTAGCTTTCGTAGAGTATATCACATGTGATCCTAGCTTCCATAGAGTGCGTCGCAGGTGATCCTAGCTTCCGTAGAGTGCGTCGTAGGTGATCGCACCTCCTCAAAGGCTAGCAAACAGAATAAAAAGAAAGTGGCTGAAGATTAGAAGAAGGAAAAAGTAATTGTGGAGTAGAAGAAGTTGGGCCTACCCTCCTACCCTCATGGAAGGAGAAATGACGGGAATTCTGGAAGCTATGTTGTAGAATTCTGAAGATTTCGCTTCATATCTTCTTCTGTGAGGGTAGGGACAACTTCTTCCTCGTCCACAATGACGTTCCATACTTTTTTTTTTGTAATCATTTTAGCATGTAATTACTTTGCTGTTGTTTTTTTTGTTGCAGTTTGTGCGTAGTAGCACCATAACCTTCTAATTCAGACTAGTTGGAGCCACTCTTACTTTTACTTGAAAATGCTCCAAAACTAAATGTTATTTTGGTAAATCATGTAAGTATATTATCCTCATCCCCTTCTTCTAGCTTTAGTGGACTTAAATACTAGTCAAAATCTGCTTAATAATATAGCCATCCATCATTGCTTCTCAGGAATATACCTTTAGCCCCCACGATCGGATCCCACTTTCATGGAACCAACCAAATTCTCTTCCTGGATGCTTGTCGTCACAACTCGAGATATTTGAGTATAGAGAATATGTAATCAGAGAAGAAGAGAAAGAATTCTTGACATATATCTTAGCTTACCTTAAGTGTTTAAAGACTGTGACAATCTCGGTGAGATGCATGTTCGATATTGAAAAGAAAGAGTTGACCATCGAGGAGTCGAGAGATCTTCCTAGGGTTTCAACAACATGTCAACTTTTCTTCAAATGAAAATTGTACTTTTATCATGCTTAATTAGCCTAATATATTATGAAGCTTAGTTCATGTGAAAAAACTGCTATTACTATATAATAATAAAAAAATTATGAAAACATACATTATATTGTCCTAGTAATGTCATAAGCATAAAAAATATTATGAAGAAAACATATAGTATACATTGTCATAGTAATGCCATGAAGTTAAAACTGGAAATCAGTAGAAGTTAGATCAGAAGCAAACAAAATAATTTCAACATAATCAAACTTGTGCCCCAATATTACAACCAATTTATACATGAACAAAACACAAGCAGTGTTCTTCGGAAACCTTAACTACAAATGAATGAGGTAGTCTAATTTCTTACAACATTTTTTTGTTAACCCAAGATGACTGTATCCTAAAACCCAATAATTGTGGTGAAACTTACCCTATTGAACCTGTGAACTAAGTACTCACCTGTTGATGTTCACTGCTTGACTGAGAAGGGTTAACTCCATATTCTGAACTCTGAAGTGTAACCATCGCTTGAACCTGTGTCGAATCTCCTCTTATTTGTTCCATACCGTGGTGTAATGTCATTCAGGTTTTCAGAAGAGCTATAGGTCACGCTATTCCCCGTCTCTTCGACCTTTCTTAGGGCTACCTCACCTTCAAGGGCACGTACTACCTATTCAAGTTTTTTCAAGATATAAAATATATTCATGAATTAGGCTTGTTCCTTTGTGATATGTGGACAAATACATGTATTTCAACTAAATCTCAGACCTGGCTCATTCGGGGCCGAAGCCAAGCTGATTGGCGTATGCAAGCAGCAGCACAAGCAGCCATGTTTGCCATCTGGGTTGTATCGTAATTCTTCTCCAACCTCGGGTCTACAAGAAGGTCAAAGCTCTCTCCAGAAATTGCTTTCGCAAGCAATGGTCTTGCCTGAGGAAAAATCAAAATTCACAATCTAATGAAGTTTCAAGCTTGCAGTTATTTTGGAGTCTACTTCTCATCTAATATCTATTAGGAAAAAAAGAAAATCTGATGGTATTATCATCATCATCATCATGTATTTTGACTTACCCAGTCAACTAAACTCTGGTTTGTGGAAGAATCTTTGGAGAAAATTGATGGACGTCCAGTGATGAGTTCAAGAAGCACAACCCCAAATGAATATACATCTGATTTATCAGTTACTTTACCACTAGACGCGTATTCTGGAGCCATGTATCTGTTTAAATGGTGCACAAGACGTTTAGTGATCACTGATGTATAGAGAACCTTAAAACGGTAATATAATATTTTAAGATGGCATATCATATCAAGCATTGGATGGTGTTTTACCCGAAAGTTCCTACCACTCGAGTAGAGATATGAGTGAATGATGAATTGGTGTCTGAGAAAAACTTGGCTAGTCCAAAGTCAGAGACCTGAAAGAAGCAAAACAGAACAAGAAGTCTAAGCTACATGTAATCTTGTTAAATTAAACAAAAATGGTATGAATATAAACCGAAACTCTGATTCAAAAAAACTTCACTGATACCCAAATTTCTGGTGGATCCTAAAAACCAAACTTAATGATAAGATTAAAGAGCAGATCACCTTTGCCTCAAATTTGGAATCTAGAAGGATATTAGCTGCTTTGATATCACGGTGAATTATAGTTGGACTGCCTGCATTTCAACACTAGAAATCAATAGCAGTGTCGAAAAACCGAAAAAGGCCATGCTCATTCCCATTATGAGGAGAAAAAACTCACAATCCTCATGAAGATACGCTAATCCTTTTGCTGCTCCTACAGCAATCCTGAGCCTCATTTCCCACTCTAACACACTTCCTCTGTTTCCTACAATACATATTCTCACAATACTCAACATAATGAATCTAAAGACAAAATAAAATCCTTAAGAAGGATCAAATCATATATTTTTTTTTACCATGCAAGTGGAACTCCAAGGTATCTTTAGGAACAAACTCGTAAACCAAGAGTCTTTTATCTCCGTTAACGCAATAACCAACCAATGAAACGAGATGCTTATGATGAACCCTACTGATTGTGTCAACCTCAGCTTGGAATTCTCTTTCCCCTTGATAGCTCCCAATCTTCAGCTGCTTCACCGCAACTTCTGTCCCGTTTTTAAGCACTCCTTTGTGAACATAACCGAAACCGCCTTCCCCCAAAAGGTTCGCCTCTGAAAATCCACACGTTGCTTCGGAAAGTTCTTCGTAGGTGAACATTCCAGATGGCATTGTAATGTTTTTTGCAACAGAATTGTTCTCTTTAGTACCATTGCCTCCACTAGATAAATATTTAGGTGGTGCAGTATGGATTGGAGGTGGCATTGTGATAACATGTGCCT